CTCCATCAGCTGTGCCAACAACAGCTTCTCCTAACATTAATGTAGAGTTAGTCACCCTTTTGTCTCTGTGAATTAATCTCCAGTGGCATTCGGTTGCTGCTGCTGAATGCCAGGTCAGACTGTAATAAGGCTTCTCTCATCTGTGATTTGATCACAGAACTCTGCCCAGCTAGGTTTCAGGTGTGGCATCAACCAGGATTCCAGGGCAGGGATGGGAGAGTGTGGTTATCCTCCGGGAATCTCTAATGGTTCTCAGAGCAATGGTCCACAGGTCACTAGATGTGAGACACTGTTTATTAAGTTGGGCTCTAGGGATCAGTTGGGATTGTTGCTAGTGTACTAGCGTTCCTGCTGCCTAGTGACCTCCCTGCTTGAGCTCCTTGGCTCCATTTCTGGGTTGGCGGTAGAGTTTCTCAGGCTTATGTTCCTGGTGGACTTCAGTCTGCCTTCTCTAGGCCTGAGGCTGCTCAGGAGTTCATGGCCACCATGACATCCATGGGTCTATCCCAGGTCATCCAGGCCTTGACTCATGACAGCGGTCACACACCTGATCTGTTTTTGTTGTTGTTGTTGTTGAAGTGATGGCAAAGTGATCTAGAATTGGGAGAGCTCTCTGTGGCTCCCCTGTCATGGTCAGATCACTCCCTGGTAACCATGATATTCTCTGGTGCTGCCCCCCACCACAGGGAGGCAGGACCTATTTGATTGCTCTGCCCTGGTGACTGACGGACCCAGATTGGTTCCAGAGGGAACTGGGGTTTGTTAGTGATAGTCTCCTGCATGGTCCAGCCAAGGTCTTAGTCATCACCAGGAATGGAAGGTGGCTGGGGCTTTGGATCAGATCATGCCCATGCAGCCTCTACTTTCCCATGGATCCTGTCATTCTCTGTGGTTTACAAAGGAACTGAGGGAAATGAAATGGGTTAAGAGATGCCTAGAGTGTTGCTGGGGGTCAATGAGGAATGAACCCAACCAAACATGGGTTACAGCTGCTATTAAGGCCTACTTTGTGGCGGTAAGGGCAGCAAAATGTCAGTATTTTTCCATCCTTAGCATCCACGATCGCTGTCTGGAGATCTTGTGTAGGTGACTCAAGCCCTCTTGGGTATAGAGGACTCTGAGGTTCACCTATAGGGTTACACAGAAGAAAATGCAGGGCATCTGTCAGATTAAATTGTTCAGATTCACTCTCAGTTGGACACCAGCCTTGGTGCAGGTCCAGTGGAGGTGCATGGGGCATGGTCTTGCTTGTTATCTGGGGGAGTTTGAACCTGTTAGGCCTGATGAAGTGGACAGGGTCCTCATGACTGTGAGCTCAGCCACCTGTTTATTAGATCCATGTTCGTCCTGGTTACTAAAGGCCTCCCAGGAGGTGATGTGCAGTTGGATTCTGGCAGTGATAAATTCTTCTTTGAGAGAGGGGGTTGTTCCTCTGCCTCTCAAGGAGGCAGTGGTTTGCCCCCTCCTCAAGAAGTTTTTTTGGGTTTGTTTTTTTTAGGGAAGATTGTTGGGAACATGGTTGTGCAACAGCTTCAGAAGATCCTGGATGAGACAGATTGTTTGGACCCCTTTCAGTCTGGTTTCAGACCTGGACATGGAACTGAAATAGCATTGGTCATGTTTTTCGGTGACCTCTGGTGACAGCGAGATGGAGGTAATGCATCCATTCTTGCTCTTCTTGTCCTCTCCATGGCTTTCAATACCATCAACTATGGTATCCTTCTGGACCGGCTTCAGGGGTTGAAGGTGGGTGGCAGATTGTGTTGTGCTGGTTCTCTTCTTTCCTCTGAGGCTGGCTCCAGTTAGTGCTGATTGGGGTCAAGAGGTTCAAGCCTCACCCTGTCCTTTGTGGGGTGCCGCAGGGCTCGGAACTCTCTCCACTACTGTTTAACATCTACATAAAGCCACTGGGTGAGGTCATTCATTGCTGTGGGGTGAGGTGCCATCAGTAAGCTGATAATACCCAGTTATATATGTCTGCTCCTGGGGAACTAAGTGATGCTGTTGATGTCCTGTCCTGGTGTCTGGTGGCTGTGGGAGTTTGGATGGGGAAAACAGGTTTCAGCTCAACCCTAGCAAGACTGAGTGGCTTCGGGTTTTGGGGCCTTCAGATTCCAGGAATTTACCATATTTGGTGCTGGATGAGGTGGTAGTACCCCAAACAGACCTGGTGTGCTGTCTGGAGGTCCTTCTCTACTCGTGACTCTTGCTTGATGAGCAGGTAGCAGTCATGGCTAGGAGGGCCTTTGCACAACTTTGGGTTGTGCACCAGCTGCACCCATTCCTGGATCTGAAGGATCTAATTCTCAGTCATTCACACCCTGGTCACCTCCAGAACAGATTATTGTACAAGTGGTCCTTGGTTAACAACCACTCATTCAGTGACTGTTCAAACTTACAACAGCACTGAATGAGTAGTACTTATGACTGGTCCTTGAAGTTCTGGCCATTACAGCACCCCCACAGTCACATGATCGCAATTTGACATTCAGCAATCAGCCTGTATTTCCAACCATTGCAACATTCTATGGTCATGTGATCACAATTTGCAACTTTCTCTGCCAGGTTCCCGCAAGCAAAGTCAATGGTGAAGCCAGCAGAAGTCAGAAGTCACAATCACATGAGGTCCCCACTTAATGACTCATGGTGATATACTTAATGACAGTAACCAAGGACTCCTGGAACTGCCATTGTTAAGTGGTTCAGTGATGTGTCATCACGTTTTACAACCGCATCACTTAGCAACGGAAATTCCAGTGCCAATTACCATTGTTAAATGAGGACCACCTGTAATGTACTATACATGGGGCTGCCCTTGAAGAGCATCCAGAAGCTGCAGCTGGTGCAAAACACAGCAACACAGGCAGTTATGTGTGCTAATCACTCAGCACATGCTACACCTCTGCTCCACGAGCTGCATTCATTGCCAGTTTGCTTCCAGGTTCAATTCAAGGTGCTGGTTATGACTTATAAAGCCCATCATGGCATGGGGCCAGGCTATTTAAGGGACTGCCTCTCCCAGTTACATCTACCCGTCCCATCAGGTCTGGCACGAAAGGTGTGTTAAGGGCCCCGTCCATTAAGGAATGTCTTCTGATAGGACCCAGACAGAGAGGGTTTTTTGTCACAGCACCCACCCTTTGGAACCTCATTCCCCCCAAGGTTAGGTTAGCCCCAACCCTACTGGCCTTCAGGAAGGCTCATAAGACATGGTTCTGTCATTGTGCCTGGAGGTCCAGTGGTAGTATCAAGCCTGCTGGTTGGTGGCACTGTTAGTAATTTATTGGTATTCTCCTATAAATTAGCTTTATTGTTTTAATTAACTGCTTTAATTGGTTTTAATGGTTTTTATTTTGTTATTTTTTTCCTATTTGTTTTAATTATGTAAGCCACCCAGAGTCACTTAGGTGAGATGAGCAGTGATATAAATCAATTAATCATTTTTACCGATAAACTATTCTTTTTAAGATTTGAAAAGCAGTATCAAATAAAACAATGTTATCCTTTTCTCTTGTAGCATTGGACTGTATGCTTGAACTTTTTTAAAAAATTGTCCTATATTGTTGGTAGCCATCCTCTGCCTCATGTTTTTCCATTAATTTGCATTAAGAAAGGAAGTTGGATTGAAGGATCAAAGATTAAGGCAGCCTTTCCCAACCTAGCCCTATTCAGAGGTGCTCGGACTGCATTTCCCAGAATTCTCAATGGATCAAGGGAGGCAAAGTGGCTGTATATTGGCTCTTTTTCTATCCTGCCCTTATGGAAGGCAAAACAAGAAATATTTTAGACAGTATACAAGCCTGATACTGTTTCTATTTTTCCTTAAGTATTAAGTGAGAACCATTAATATCTCACTGAGTATTATTTGGGCACTACAGGGAATTTATAAGGCACAGCAGCTGGTGATTAACTATTACAGCAAGCTTGCTTTTTAATGGCTTTTAGCCAGCTAAATGTTGGCAACCACTTGAAAATAATCTATCATAAATAGGAAACATGTCTCCAGGCACATAATTAATATTTGCTAGACACTAGAGATTCCAAAAAGGTAAAAGAGACTGAGATTTTTACTAAAGCTTTTCCATTTTTGTAGTGCTGGGCCTTTTAAAAATGTGTTGTGTTTCTGGAATGTCATGCAAAATTGAGACAGAGCAAGGCAGAGCCAAACTATTTGCATTTTCACCAACTGGCAGGAGAATGGTATGTTACCCTCAGATGGAGAATAGCAAGAAAAGGAGCCTTAAGTGGTCGTGGCCCATGTTTCTGTTTTGTTTCAGAAAAGTATCATTCATGCAGACCACTTGGCACCATGAGAAATCCAGGTTTTGACTGCTTTTGGAAAGCAGTCAGTAAAAGCTTATTAACATTTTTAATATTTTAATTTAATTACAAATATACAAATTCAGTTGAATGGAAGCATATAGCTTACGCTTCCTGGTAGCCATAGCCTGGTTTCCCAAGATTCTTACACAAGACTGAGATTCAGTAGTATCTGCATCTGAATCAAACTAATTCCATGATTCTCTCTCTCCTTTAGTGGACTAGAGAAAAGGTCTTACTCAACATTTTCCTAACATGATCCTATATCAAAAGGTTTGGTCCCTATGGGGAAGTAACAAAGGATGTGCCAAGCCTTCACTTATCTAAACCCCAGGATCACAATATTTGTTCTGTTTATTATGTATGGATATTAGAATATTTATGTTTAAAGCGTTGGCCGCATTGACAACCAGGTTGTCTTAATCAGAAACAGTCATGCTATGGTTTCTGTTCTGAATAACCCTTAACAGAGTAATTATTGTTAGTGTGAAGTCCTGTGGTTGGACCACAGGGAAGAAATCCCAGGTGTTTGGGCTGCTGAACAGAGAATGACTGCTCAAACCAAAACTGAGATACAAGGGCTTTGCACTGAAATGGGAGAGCGAGGATTTGCTGTGCTTTTTCCAGGCTGCAATTGTGTGCCTCCTTGTGCTCAATTTGTGTTTGTCCAATTTCTTCAGGCTACCCAGTATATGAGTTCAATTTCAAAGGAAATGCAACCAGTGGCTGGCACAGAAGGTGCTTATTATCGTCGTCGAAGGTTGATGAGGCAACTTCCTCTTTATGATCAGGACCCTTCCCAATGTCGGGGCCTTTCGGAGAATGAAATCAAGCTGATGGAAGACTTTATAAAGCGATATAAAGACAATGTTCTTGGAGTTGGAGAGGTTGCACTGCTAGGTCAAGGGGGAGCTACCAAAGAAGAAGGGAAGCAATCTGATAAAAACATTCCTGCGAGTCAGGAAGCAGCTTCAACCAATGGCACGGTGGGCCATCTATCCAAAGGGCAGGACTTGGTAAGTCCTCAACACAATGTTGCAGAGTGGGGGAAATGCGTTTTTTTAAAAACAAAGTATATAATTAATGGATGAAGCATGGGTATTATTCAAATATTAAATATATAAAATAGTATCAAATCTTATTTGATTGAAAGATGGGAAACGGATAGATGAAAAGATTGCAAATAACTTTAGGGAGCACAGAAGGTGTGTAAGTTCAGGTATACTACAAAGATGCTACCAAATTCTTTCAGATGCATGCAATTGTACCAATAGTTCAAGCCTAATTAGTTCACAAACATCATAGAACAGTGAAGACAATAATGCTGCCAATATAAATGGTAAAAATCCAGCAGCAGAACTATAGAAGTATTAGACATGAAGTTACTGCCAGAAGAGGTGCTGAAATAAATAAAGCAAGAATGTTAAAGAGATCTGCCTTGGAAAGACATTCCACAAAAGCTCTTGATGTCAGGGGGCCGGGTTATTTGAGGGACCGCCTCTTCCTGATTACATCTGCCCATCCCATCAGGTGTGGCAGGAGAGGCATGTTGTGGGTCCTTTTCTGCCCTGAACCCTGCCCTGTGGAACATCATTCCCCCCTCCCCCTGAGGTGAGATTGGCCCCATCCCTACCAACCTTCTGGAAGTCCCCCAAAACTTTGCTTTGTCAACACGCCTGGGGGTCTCAAGGGAATGGTGAGTTGATGAGGTGGCTCCATTGTTTGTAATATCTAATGCTCTCTCCTGGCCTTTTAATCATAATGTTTTTAATGGTCGATAATTTTTTATATTGCTATTTTATGGCTTTTATTGTATGCCGCCTAGAGTCACACTTTGTGAGATGGGCAATCCATATATGATTGACTGATTAATAAATAAATAAAATAACAAATGCCCTCCCTGGGAGCCATTCATGATACTATGGTAAGTGAAGATCATCCAAAGATAATCTGAACTGTTTTTAGATCTTCAAAGTGTTGATGTTAAAACTATCATTGGCAACCTGTGCAAGTTAAGCACTACTTTCAAAATAGCCAGTTCCGAAAACAGCAATCTGTAAAGGGATTCTTTTTTCCCCTTGTCATTTAAATCAGTGTTTCTCAACCTCATCAACTTTAAGATGTGTGGATTTCCTCTCCCAGAATTCCCCAGCCAGCATGATTTAAAAGTTGTCAGTGGAGAGACTAATTCACTTGAGAAGTCGTGATCTTAATCTGCTGCATAGGCTTCGGCATTGCTTCCCCAAAGCACACAGAGAGGTTTGTGGTTGTTTGTTTGGAGAAATACATATTTTCTTACTCTAGGTTATATGTTGTTATAGCAGCAGCTCAGTCTAAGAAAGGCTGTGTCACCCCAGGAAAATAAGAAGTGACTGGTGACAGAGGCTGTTGCTAAAAGTGTTTGTGAATACCATCATGGCATGATGAATTAATTTTGACTACACGACTATCCCTCCGAGTAAATATCTGTGGTGTTTACTTTCTGGGAGGTTTTAAAACTTGATTTAT